TATGGCAGAGGAGCTTGGGGCCAGAAGCCTGTTGACAGAGGGTTGGTTGAGCAATGCTGTGAGGTGAGGAAGTAGAAGTGGAAGCATCAATTTCACACAGCTCTTTCACAGAAATGCAGCTTATGGGAAGGAGAAAGAGAGGTGGGAGGCAGAGAGAGATAAGGACTGATGGAATATTTTGTTAAGCCAATCATTTAATTCTTGGCTTTTTAAAATTGTATTTTCTCAGTTTAGATTACAAAGTATCTCTGACCTCCAGCCATGTACAATGTTACATAAAAAGAAAAGATCTGGCTCTTGAGCATCTGGATTTCTTCTCGGCTGCGCTGCTTGTTAGCCCTTTGACCCTCTGTCTCCACATATATAAAATGAGGATGATGAGGTGTCTCCTATGGGAAGTTTAAAGCAAGGTAATGTTTTCCAAGTAGCCTGCACAATCACGTGGGGTAGGGCTTCAGTCCTGCTTCCTGTCTGAGTTGAAGGTGTACAGTCACATTTATTCAGAGCCTGGTAGAGAGAATGCAGGGTACAAGAGTCCTGGACACCTGTGCGTGTGGTTTGTGGCCTCAGACACCCTGTGTGCTCTGGCTGTTGTCTTTGTTCAGAGAGCTGCCCTTCCTTTAAATTGCCCGGGCCCGTCTGCCTGGTGCTCTTCCCAGTCTGTGCCGCTTCTTCCCAGCGTGGTTGCTTGCTGGCATGCTCCGCGTCCTCCGCGTGTCCCAGCACTCACAGGGTGCTGCAAGGAGCGTTGGCTTCAGTGGTAGTGAAGGGCTCGGTGCCAGAGCCCCATTCACGGGCAGGAATCCTGTCCTGCCACCTACAGCTTCCCCAGCGCAGGGCTGATGAAACCACTCAAGAATGCAAGGTCTGTGGTAGGCCTAGTTTTCACAACCATACCTGGGGTTAGATGGTATCTCTTCTTGTAGGCCTTCAGGTTTTTATTTTTCATTAAAAAAAAATTTTGGTTTTGCCTTTCCTTGATACCATCCTTTGGCTATTTTACTGTGTTTCTATGTTGTTAGTTATAGGTAGTCGATATAAAAAGGATTCCTATGTAGTCAGTGTCTTCCTTTAGTCTCTCAGCTCAGTGCATGATTTCTCAGGCAAGCCTGTGACCTATTTAGTCTTTTTTTCCCCCCTATCCCCAGCTAGGAAAGTCTGAAGTTCAGGCAGTTTAATTAACTGGCTTTTATTCACACAGCACGTCATGTGTAGAACCAAAATTCATCAAATTTGATCAAAACTGAAATTCCATTTTTTAAAAAATTATGCTGCTATTGAGTAAAAACGAAAGCTTCTGGGGATTTATTGTGGTGGTCATTATGTGGCTGTGGATAGTATTGGCCAGAGGGAGCTGTTTGTTTGTTTTCCCTGCCATATTTATGCAGAAACTG